TAAAAAATAGAATTTTTATTAATCCATGCTTTAAAGTATATATACCAAGTTCAACAAACTATGCGTAATCGTGCTGAAAATAACGTTGACACCAATCGGTTTATTAATATTCTATTTAACGGCGGTGGCAATATCAAGTAGCAATCAAGTTGAATTCAAGTGGCAATCTGGAAAAAAATCCAGTTTCCTCATCATGGCAACTACATTCCAATAATAGTTGGGACTCTTATTAAAAAATAAGAAAAAACCAATCAAAACGAACAAGCGCAGAGCAGCCGAGCTGCCGAGTCGAATGGTTAAAATTAAAATTAAAATATCAATGCAAATATGCTGGGGCTGCTTTTAATAAATGCAAAGATCGACAGATCGGCATTATGTGCGATGGAGCACCGAGTGACACAGAGTGTAGAACGGCGGGGAATTCTAATCAAGACACGGAAGCCTCGGAAGCAAGTCGGCAGCTTCTGAGGGGAGCTCTTAACATTCGACCAATCAAGGGAGATAACCGCACGAGATCTCTGTTAACCGTGTACCGATGTTAACATGGCCAACAAGTGCGGGTTAATTACGAGTGCCTCTGCCTCTCTTACGATCGCCTGGCTCTCTTTGGCCCGATCGCTTCGGGCCGTTATCACCAGCCGAAGCGGTCGAAACGAGCGGGCCAAAAGGGTCGTTCATGAACTGGGCTGAAATCACACTCAGTTTTAGCGCGTTTTCTTCGGCGCGCCGTTCCGTTGGCTATCTTCAAAAGCGCCTTAGTTGCATTCGCCGCGAGTTAGTTGCGGTTTAAGCGGCGAACGGTGCGCATCTACATCTATACGGTAATAGTTAATAAACGGTTAGGAGATATTCCTCATTTCTAAGGACTTTGCACCTGTTTCCCGCCGAGTGATTGGGTTCAGAACGAATTTCAAACCAGACCTTAATCTAAAGGCAATAAAATTCGGTCGTGTCGGTGCTAAGCAAATAGTATTTTGTGATATCATTATGCCCAGAGTCGTGTGATAAGTGAATTAACTCGCTGGGATAAAACAGCCAAGAGAGCGCGATCTTCATCGCTCGCCGACTAACAACAATTCACGTAGGCCATAAATGCTTTAACTGTGTTCCATAAACATTTCATAAACAGAAACTTTGATATAACACTACAGTCATTGTGATGAAAATTGTGGCGAAATCTGGCTTTGCGAATATGAAATAATTGTATTTGATTCGAAATATTGGTTGAAATATTAAAGCTTCTGGTCCGATATTATTCAGTTGTCAAGCGAAAGATTTTATCGTTGTGTGTTGATTTAATCTGATTTAAAAGTACCCTTATAAAAAATTGTTTTCTTCATTTGCTTTAAGTAAATGTTCGATCAGTGAAATTAATATTTTAAATGCCTTTGATAAAATATCAAATATTTTGTGATTAGTTCCTATTTTCTATTTTAAGCTTTTGACTCAAAATAAACAAAAAATAGGACTCATCATTTGAGCAAAAAAAAAACGTACAAATAATTTATTCATAACTGAAAGATGAAATTTAGTTTTTGCCACAAAAATGTATAAGTTAATATTCATAATGGGAAACTTCCATTCGACGCTTTGGCAGTTTCTACTTCGTCCCACCTCTTGACCACTTACAATCGGCCTTGACATTGAGAAAAATCCCATAAATTGTTTCTTGGCTGGCCAAGCAGCACAGCAACACGAAAAATAATTGCTCCATTCATTTACCCGTAGAGATTCTAATCAGCAACAAGAAAAGGCCCTCAAGATTAATCTTCGAGCTGCATGATTCACAATTCATAAATTACTGTCGAATTTTTTCAAATGAACCTAAGCAAATACGAAAATGTTTGGACTTTTGTTCTTCACTTTATTTCTTTTTTTTTACGTTGGCACGTAACTCGATTCAAGCATGACCCAAAGTTTGTTTTGATTTTGGTTTTTTTGTTTTGCTCCGCGACTTGTAAGTAAAAATAACTCGACGAAGACTGGTTCGTCGAGAAAACCGGCTGACCATGGTTAGCGAATACATTGGTGTATTGGCAAGAACCTGGCTCAAAGTACGGGATGCGGTGATGATGTGCCAGGGATTTCCCAGAGAAAAGAAGACGGGAACCCCAAATTGGCCATCGCAGCGCCGGACCTGCGATAAGCCGCTTAAAAACCTTCCACTCCATCTCCGCTTTTGCGATGTTTTTATCGCATTTCACTCTCACCGCCTACCTCAACATTCCTCATGTATCTGGCCAACAAAAAGATCGAAAATGCGGTCAAGCGGTGGCCACAGCATCAGCTAATTGTTGTCAAAATAAGTGGACAGGCGGGGAAGATGCTCATATAAAAAAAGGTCTTAAATAAATCAAATTATAATAAACAAGCCCGATAATTATATGTAAAAACGTGAAGCGGAAAACACTTTGGGCATTATGCAACTTTTTACGAACGTGTGATTTGGTAGTACCTATACAAATACATACATACACGAAAAAAACACACAAAATTCCGAAGCAAAAAAATTATAAAAGCAAACTTTGCATAACAACATTTTTCTGATTGATTGCAAGAGAAATTTAGTGCCGGCAGAAAGAAATTGGCCATTAAACGAGTCAACAATAAAATGTAATCTGATTAAGTTCCATCAATGAGGAGTAAAAAAGGCACTCCAGAATGATTTAATGTTCGTATGTTCATTGGTATAAACTGTAGAAATTTTTAAGGAAACGAAAACGTAATTTAAATAAAATAAAAAGTTTTGAAGATTGGCTTTAAAAGTAGGCTAATTAAATAAATATATATGAATATTTGGTGTTAAATTTCAAAAACCCCATTATTAGATTCTATAAAATTCCCTGTTTAGGTTCAATCATCTAACTTCTTTATTGTTCTAGATTCTCAAGATTAAAATGTAAATTGTGTGGGTATCTCCAGCTACTGAAGTCATTCAAGGGGAACCGAAACCTTAGCTGGGCTGAAATCAAATTTTAAGAAAGAATAAATAAATATTCATTAGGTCACCGCAAAAGGAAATCACAGAATTACATTTCTAGGCGCTAATTTTCAGGGAATACCCTGGTGGGATTCCAGTGACAGCTCCAATCAAATCTCAGCTTTTAGCCCATTTAGACAATGAGTAAGCGGTCAGTCCACGTGACTTTTGCAGCTCTGGATCAAAGATGCATGTTAATCAAAGTGATTGTATGTCAAAAAGTATTAACAAAGTAACCAAAGCGTTTACTCATGCCGGCAAAAAAATACCGGTCAGACCACTTACGCTATGCGAAAGATGAACAGAATTAATTGAGCTACAAATCAGCTAAGGAAAGTAGCGAGCATCGAACAAATATTTGAACTTTGATTGATTACTCATTTGACTGAGCCAAGGCTATATCATTAATTCATATTTTAGTTCCGGCTAGCAGCGCAGATTATTAAAAAATTATATTAGCCATTAAATGATTAGATCTCTTTAATAGGTTTTCAATTTTCGTGTACTCCTTGGTTTTATTTTCTCCCAAATTGAGTGCCACGTAGCCGGGTACTTAGTTTCTAATTAACGGAAGTGCGTCGGGTCCATTTAGCCCTCAAGGTACTCGGAGTACATAAATCTTTAAGATGCTTCAAGTGTTGCCAAATAAAAGTGGAAATCAGGGGGATAGACAAAGGAAGCTCTTTGCTAAAAATTAAAAAATAATTTCAAGCGATGTTTAAATACACTTAAAAAAAAAAATTTAAAATCAAATTATTAATATAAGAAAATGTTTCTTTATTTTATTTATTTTTGTTTTAAATAAGAATCAAACAATTTTTACCATCTCATTATTTCTAGCTTCAGTCAAAACGTTGAGCACTCTGCCAAGAAAATTGGAGCATAAACACAACTTGATGTGTATGAAAAATGTCTTGGGCCATTTCTTTCGTATTTTCCTCGGCGGCATCGTTTTTGTGCCTTTGTTTTTCATAATTTATGCGCAGTTTTCTTTATGTGTGGGCCTCCGTCGGACTTTGGCTTATGGACAGTGGACCCATTGGCGGACGTGAGCTTGTGCCTCAGTGTGCGTGTGTGTTTAAGGAACAGCGTGCTAATTAATTAAATTCGTACGTGCCTTGTGTGACTGTGTGTGTGTTGGTGTATGAGTGTGCGAGTGTCTTGAGTTGAGCCGGCGAATCAACTTGCTGGCCATGTGCTGATAGGACCAAAAGCAAAGGCACATACCGAGGCCCAGCACCACGGAGCGTATGAGTGATATTTACAGTCGGGCCGTAAATCATACTTAACTTAATATACAATATATACCTACCCGACCCTCATATGTTTGCCCTTTTCGACCATGTGTGCGTGCTCCTTTCTTTCGGGCGACGAGGTCAATACAGAATGCCAGGCTAATGTGGTTATAGGGTTAGAGGATATTTCCATTGATTGAGTTTGGCAATAACAAGAGAAAAAACAATTTGTGTAATTGTTATTGTTTATTGGATAGAACTCGATTAGGCAAAAGAGTTTGGGAAGGGAAAGAAAATAAATAAGGAATAAATAAATATAAACAGAACGATAAAAACAGAAGTTTATTAAAGGCATATGATTAAAAATATGATTAAGCCACTAAATATTCACGCCATTTTTAAAAAAATCTCAGTTATATTAAACCTACATATCTAAGTTCTACAAATTTTCATACATTTTTTAAATAAAAGATATCGAACAGCAATGTCTTCAAAAACGAAGGCACCTTAAGACTCTATTAATCTTACCTGGCCGTGAACCGGGGCAACGCCCTTCTTCTCGCGATATACATCAGAATTGGCTTCAATAAAAAATAATATAACATCATTAAAGCCAGAGCAACTCGTTTTATTAACAATCAACAAGACCATCTGCCAAGCAAGTCAAATATAATTGGTAATATACGAAAAAATGTTCCAATAAAATTCGAAATTAAATGCTGCAATCAGCAGCTGAATAAATACATATAATAACAATATTAAGTGTAATTGAACCCGCAAGTTGTACTAATAATAGTCGATGTTCATTTTATGTGTCCCATTTGCAGGCAATTTGTGGTTAAAATCAACAACAACTTCCGCATAACCATACAAAATAACTCCCAAAATATTCAATAAGAGACAATCGTAGCCAAAAAAAAAAGCAGCCAGCCAGCAACAATTGGGATAAAAACCAAAACAATAACCTCAAATTGAATGAGCGTAAGCCATAATTATGACCAAATGAGCCAGCCCGCAATAACAACAACAACAAAAAGGCCAAGCAGAAAAAACAATAAAATGACGGTCGTCAACGGCAGATTAGCAGAGTTATCCCGGTTAACAGTCGTCTTAGCAGCGCTGCTACAGTTTGCCAGTCACACCAGTGGCTTTCAAACTGTAAGCGAATCAGCAGGTGAGTGTATCAAAATCAATTAGTAGAAATATTCATTAATACATTTTATACACTTTAAAAAATTTTATTTATTTTTAAAAATTGTACAATGTATTATTTTGTTGTTACAAGAAAAACACATCGTTCTAAAAATTAAATTATTTATATGTGTGAATACTTAGGATATGGTTTAAAAATTAAATTTTTAAATATATTTTGATAAAAAGTTTTACATTGTTAACATGTTTTTGTTATAAAATTTCTACTATAAATCTTGCAAAAGTTAACAATCCATAAAAAAGTGAGATAACACAACCGATTTAGTTTAATTTTTTCATTACTTAAAATGGCTATTTAACCATATGAATACACGATTCTTTCTGCGTCCATTAAACACAAACCCCATGTAAACCGTCAGAAGCTTCACGTAGCAATTAACACCCAGCGACCTTGGCCAAATTAAAGCCGGCATAAACATTAGCACCGCGTAAAAATATACACTTATATATATTTTCTTTAGACAATGTAAACAGCGGTTGCCACTCACATGCGAAAAGTAAGTAGCTTGCCCACCTGGCATGTGAATTTGCGTAAGTCCGGCAAATAATCAAGCAAGTGCTTGATGGTTAAAACAAACGTCGCACAGTGGCGCCTTGGGCCAAAAAACGTGCAATAAATCACTTTTTCGACTTTGTCCTAGAAAGTTGTGACCCATACCAATCGACAGGTAATTGATCCACTATTACAAATATGTAACCCTTTTTCAAATCAAAATTTTTGTAAAAGATATGAATTTTCAAAGTTGAACAATTTTTCACTTAAAAAAAACACACCGTTTTTAGGTAATTTTTCGCACTTCCGGGGGGTTTTCTTAAAAACTAGGTATCGAATCGCTTTGCTTCTTTTTTCCACGGATTGGTGTGTTAGTTAAGAGAAAAAACTAAAACATATTGCAGTTTGCCCGCCGCATCTCTTAGTTATGGGTTATCTGCCAAACGTCCATTTTTTCCATGTTTTTCAACTTTGATGGAAAATAAAAAAGCTATTTAATACTTTTTTTTTATACTTCCCTAAAACGTTATTTGGACTTTCTTCTTGATATAAGGAAAGTTGTAGCTGCGTCCGCGTGCGTCCGCGGTTTTAAGAGCCAAAAAAGGTAAAAAAGTCATGGTCCCAGAAATTGCATATGGCGCAACCTTGTGAAAGATTTGTCCAAAACATTGTGTTAAAGTCCTGAAAATTTGATATGATGTGCAACAGCTCGATATAAGAAACTTTAGCTCTACCACTTTTGGAAAAACCCGCTAGTTTAGCGGAAAAACAGCTATAAATAGCTAAAATACGGAAGGCCGTAACTTCTAAACTACTGAAGCTACAGACTTGTGCTGTATCTCGTTTGAAAGGTATTTTAAAAAGCGCCTCCTGTATGTAATTTGTGTAAATGTAATATTTAAAAAGATATGCACAAAACAAATTTTTTGTAAACTTTTTTTTTAGCCTTTTTTAGTTTTCTCAAAAACGGTTTCAACGATTTCCTTTAAAACTTCAAACTGTATAGCCCTTGAGAGTCCTTAAATTTTGGTATACATCATGTTACTGTAAAAAATCACGTTTAAAAGTTATTCAGAAACGAAAATAGCCACTTTTGCCAGCTCAAAACAACTTACGCTGCCTAAGCATTGAATTTAGTATGCGCGAGTCCAAACTGTATTTTAAGGTCATGGAATCACAACCTTGTCACAGAGTTAGAATCTAGTAATTATAGTCCAGAAATGTTAGGTCTATTGGATTTACCAAGTTTACTAAATTGTGACCATTATTTCAAAAAACATGAAATATAAAAAAAAAGTTTTTAAAAAAACTTTTATTTATTTTTTTCTTTTTTTAGTTTTTAAAAATTAAAACATAAAAAAATAAACTAAACAAAACGTAATTTTTTTAAAAAAAAAAAATTTTTTTTTTTAAAATTCCAATTTTTTATTTATTTTTTTTTAATAAGTTTTAAAAATTACAACATGAAAAAAGAAACTAAAAAAAACAAAAACTTTTTAAAAAAAGTTTTTTTTTGTCGGAAAAAAATGGATTTGTTTTTAAATTCTGACTTTGCCGATTTGTAAGTACGCCTCTGCCACGCCCACTCCCTGCCCAGTTTTCTCAAAAACGGTTTCAACGATTTCCTTTAAAACTTCAAACTGTATAGCCCTTGAGAGTCCTTAAATTTTGGTATACATCATGTTACTGTAAAAAATCACGTTTAAAAGTTATTCAGAAACGAAAATAGCCACTTTTGCCAGCTCAAAACAACTTACGCTGCCTAAGCATTGAATTTAGTATGCGCGAGTCCAAACTGTATTTTAAGGTCATGGAATCACAACCTTGTCACAGAGTTAGAATCTATAATTATAGTCCAGAAATGTTAGGTCTATTGGATTTACCAGGTTTACCAAATTGTGGCCATTATTTCAAAAACATGAAATATAAAAAAAAGTTTTTAAAAAAACTTTTATTTATTTTTTTTCTTTTTTAGTTTTTAAAAATTAAAACATAAAAAAATAAACTAAACAAAACGTAATTTTTTTAAAAAAAAAAATTTTTTTTTAAAATTCCAATTTTTTATTTATTTTTTTTTAATAAGTTTTAAAAATTACAACATGAAAAAAGAAACTAAAAAAAACAAAAACTTTTTAAAAAAGGTTTTTTTTTGTCGGAAAAAAATGGATTTGTTTTTAAATTCTGACTTTGCCGATTTGTAAGTACGCCTCTGCCACGCCCACTCCCTGTCTCAAGCAATAATTTGAAAGGTGGATCAATTATCTATCATTTGCCGTTTACAAAATTCAATTATCTTCACTGGTTCAAAAGTTATGATTTATTACCAAAAAAAAGTCAAAAGGCGCCACTGTGCGTCGGTAGGCAGGCAATCATAATAATGGCCATAACGAGCCAATAAACGATGCAGCCCAACGCTGAAACCCCCTGACACTCACACACACTCACACTCACCGAAAAACAGTCAATAAACGCGGCCTTAATGCTTAACTGACAGACATCCGCCTAACGGAGTTGGCTATATATGTACGGTGTACGTGCAGCACTCGCATATAGTATAATTTATATGCCAAACAGCTGCTGACATCGCCCAGTCTCCCTTCAAAAAAAAAAAGGAAGAATAAGGAAAACCCTAACTGGATGAGCCTTAGTCCCATATGCCTCAAGCTCATATTTCACTCCACGACAAAACTGTTGATTCATTCATGAATAATGCGTTTTGTTATTGAAGAGGTTTTTAAAGTCTCCTAGCTTAGCTGTCTCAAAAATGTCGGATATATCTCACTATAAATCATTAAACAAAGCTGCTAGAAATGGGCAGTCAAATGTGTAACTTTCCATACGATTGACAGCTCACCAACTTTAGAATGTAATAAATTAAAATAGATATTTATGGGGAAAAAGTTATACGATCTTGCCTAAACTGTAAAATCTAAACAAAAACCAACATAGTAATTTACAAAAATAAATTTATGACTTAATGTTTATGATTTTATTCAGTGTTTTTGTTTTTAACCCCGTATTTAAGTTTATGATTTAAATATTCCAACTGTTTGATATGGATTTTTAAAAATATAAATCTTTTATTTGTTCTTCAACTGTCAAATCCCTTTTGTATTTCTTGGAAGCTAAACAATAACGTCTTATCAGCTTATCGGAGTCCTAATCACAATTTTATTCTATCGTAAAGTTAATTGTTTTTTAATGTGAGAGTATTTTTAGCAGTGATTTTCCGATTGCCAGTTGTTATTGTTCTTTTTTGACGTGGTGTTGATCAGGATTGCGAAATATTTTTCTTTCGTTTGGCGTAGGTAAGCCGTTTTCATGACCAGAAATCTTTATGGTCCTATGGCGGGGTCTTCGAAGATTAGTTGAGCACTTGAACGTTCCCATAGATCCGCCGGCGATATCCGATTACAAGCTCATGCTTACTCATTCCACATTGCAAAAGGGCAAATACTGAACTTGAATTATCCGTTAAAATGATATATGTACGCCTAGCGGGTCGGGTTAGCCCAGTTGATCCGGATCTTGATGGCATTTTAATTTGTATTTTATCGCCTGCTCGAGTGTGGGCAGTAATTAACATACGAGTGTCGACACTTGTCGCATTCTATATGAGCAATCAAATCGGCTATTCAGATAAAATAACTAAAGAATGTGAAACCCATTTAATCTTAAGCTGTTGAAAAGGAGATTTATTACTTAAAAATGGTTTATGCATATATTTAATTGTATTTTAATGGTTTAAAATTTGTAATATTGAATTTTAAACGAAAATATAAATTTTTTTTGGCAAACTGGTTCTCGTTTATACTATGAGAACCCAGTCATAATATAGCATTTCTCACTTTCATAATAATTCGCACATTTTTACCAATCTGTGACTCAGAGTTCAGGGCACCTGAGGCCAGACAATTAGCACGTGTAATGAACATTTATGAACTAATAATAGCACTCTGAAGTTTCTGCGTATGTATTAGAATTCCCAAGTGTGAAACTAAGCCATGCATTCAATTAAATGACCTATAAATTGCGAATCTCAGGCGCGTGATATGCCGCCAAAAAGACAACAAAAAGTGTTTTGGTCTCAAATTATTTGTATTTGTCTTTTCTTTTCGGTCTTTTTTTGTTTATGACCCAGTGAATTATATTTGCCAGAGGTTTTGTGTCATTAAATAATTGTTTACCTGGACAAGCAAGAACAAAGCTAAATAATTGCTGGAACAAAACTTTCCTTCAATGAGTTTTTAAGAAGTGTATTAAATAAATTGGTTAAATCAGGTCATTACTCCTTACGATTTTATTACAATTTTAAACAATATCTCTTTTTTCAGTTGATAATACCATCTGTCTGTACCAAGAGCACAACACCACTTACCGCAAGGAGATCGGAGCTGTATGGTTTGCCCCCAAGGATCCTTGCCTGGTTTATTCCTGTGCAGCTGGCGTGGCCAAGGATCCTCAGGCTCATATTGTGGTGACTCAGGTCGACTGCAATGAGTTCTACTGCGAAGTGGTTAGTAAATCATATATCTAAAATATTATTTAAAAATCAATGGTTTTCCATATTACAGGGTTCAGAACTGCGTAGTGTCGAAGGCAGCTGTTGTGGGGAGTGCGTGAGGACCCACTGTCAGCACAACCACACACTGTATGCAGTGGGTGAGTCCTGGCACAATGATGCCGACTGCACTCTCATCGAATGCGGCCGCCTGGAAAATGGACAGATTATAATGAACACATACAAAAGAAACTGCCCAGCATTGACTGAAGATTGCCCAGCTTCGAGGTTGGAGGAGCGAAACTGTTGTCCCTACTGCAGACCTCTGCAAACAGCCCGGATTGAGGAGCTCCAGGATGATGAGGAGCAGGCCACAGATGATATTTGGACCGCCGAATGGTATCGCAAGCATCCCTGCAACCGCGATTGTCAGGTGGGAGCCGAACCCATGACCTGTCGCTACAACTTTGTGGTCGAATGGTATCAGACCTTTTCGAAGGCCTGCTACGATTGCCCCCGAAATCTGACGGATTGCTCGCGACCCCATTGCGTAATGGGCGATGGTCTGGAGCGAAGTATCACGGTGGTGAATCGCATGATGCCCGGCCCGGCGATTGAAGTTTGCGAGGGCGATCAGATTGTGGTGGATGTGAAGAACCATCTGCTGGGCGAGAGCACCTCTATTCACTGGCATGGTCTGCACCAGAAGAAGACGCCCTATATGGACGGGGTTCCGCACATAACCCAGTGTCCTATAACGCCACATGCAACCTTTAGGTATTCCTTTCCCGCCGATCTCTCAGGCACTCACTTCTGGCACTCGCACACCGGAATGCAGAGGGGTGATGGCGTGTTCGGGGCACTGATCATCCGAAAGCCCAAGACATCGGAACCCCACGGGGGACTCTATGACTTTGACCTCAGCGAACATGTGATGATTGTCCAGGATTGGATACATGACACGGGTGCCAGTATATTTTCCTACCATCATCATTCGCGGGGCGACAATAAACCGCATAATCTGTTGATCAACGGCAGAGGTCGTTACTACAACCGCATTTGGGCCGAGGCCAAGCAAACCCATCGCAGAGCCGAGGAGAGAACGAGTCAACCCGTGGAACCACTGCCCAAATCGCAGGTGGACTTTGTTCAAACGCTACCGAGACAGGCTCGACTGGCTAAAACGAATACGACTAAACTATTTCCGGTGAATTCCCGCCAAAAGAGGGGTAATCTCAATGAGATACCCTTGGAACTGGTGCCCCATCAGGTTTACACAGTGAGAAGAGGCTTTCGCTACCGCTTCAGGATCATAAATGCCGAGTACCTAAACTGTCCCATTGTGGTTTCCATAGATGGTCACAACCTAACGGCCATTAACTCGGATGGTTTCGACATCGAAGCCATGGATGTGGGCTCCATAGTTACCTATTCCGGCGAACGATTTGATTTTGTGCTAAATGCCAATCTCGAGGTGGGAAACTATTGGATTCGTTTAAAGGGTCTGATGGACTGCAGCGAGGTCTTCACCTCCGCCTTTCAAGTGGGCATCCTCCGCTATGAGGGAGCTCCGGATGAGGAGCCCACTGCGGAACTGAGCTATGCCTACAAGGCAGAGGGTATCGAATTGAACGTAATGAACCGCGGTCCTGGATATCCGGACACCAAAACCGTCGCCGAAATGAGAGCTCTACCCATCTATGATCACGTATCGGGCATCGATCACGATACTTTAAAGCCTGAGGCGGACTACAAGTTCTTTATCTACTATGATTTCTATACCAAAAATAATCCCGACTTTCACGACAAAGATCTGTATGCCATGGAAATGGACATGACCCAACAGAACCGACTTTATACCCCCCAATTGAATCACATTACCCTGGACTTCCCTTCGCTGGCCCTTCTTCCCTCGAGGAGTCAGCTAAAGGACTCTGACTTCTGTAACGAAACTAGTCTGATGGAACAGGGTATCGATTGTCGCAAGGAGTTCTGCAAGTGCCATCATGTCCTGCAAGTTCCTTTGGGCGCGGTGGTTGAGATGATCATCGTGGATGAGGGATTCCAGTACTACGCCAACCATCCCTTCCATTTACACGGTAATGCCTTTAGAGTTATGGGCTTGGAGCGATTGGGAGAGAATGTCACGGTTGAAATGGTGAGTAATTCTAATTATTTTTGAAGATAAAGGTTTAATTTTCCTTCTCTAAGATCAAACAACTGGATCAATTCAATTTACTCAAACGGAATCTGGACAATCCACCTGTTAAGGACACTGTTACCATTCCGGATGGAGGCTATACCATCATTAGATTCGAGGCCTCTAATCCTGGCTATTGGCTCTTCCACTGTCACATAGAATTTCACGCTGAGATTGGCATGGCCCTGGTCTTCAAAGTGGGTGACGATGATCAAATGGTTCCGGTTCCGGAGAATTTCCCCACCTGCGGCGATTATAATCCCGACTTAAGATCTGATGGAGAAAGTACAGAAGAGTCGGGATCTAACAAGCCCACAACGGGAACTCCCCCAAATGCTGGAGGTGGTGGATCGGGATTGGAACCCACTTTAATTGCTCTGATAATTAGTTTTATGCTGGCAAAACTCTATTGATAAGGCCCTTAAAAGAGAGCACAACCCCGAAACTTGCCAAGCGAAATTCAGAGATTATTTATTGACGACGAGGGATAACCGGGAGATTAAGTTGATTTCGATTTATATAAGAAGTATTTGTTATCTAGCATTTGTATATATTCCATATTCCGCATCGTTGTAGCCTAAACATCTGTGATTGTCTAAGTAAACGTTTAAATAAGTAATTTGAAATTGTAATAAATATATGTGTAGTAATGTTGTTATAAGTATTCTCGATGTTTAAAATGGGAAGCTTAAATATGACAAATCTGACGCAACTTTTCCTAATCATTGCAACATTGTCTTTGGCAAATTCTACAAGTTTTTAATGAGATGTCGTCAGGTGGTGGGAGATCGGCTAATTCAGCCAACGCCCTCGATGTCGATAGCGGTCTTATCTGGTCCCCACTGGCAACAGCTGGCAGCGACGGTCTTGTTTTCCAACTCAAAGTATCAGCGATGTGCAGGGACCTGATCTTCCACCCGTTGACCCGGCGAAGATAGCCGAAATGTTATTGCATTCCGGGACAAAGTAATCAGAACAGATGGGCTGGACATCTGGACCCGGTGCATCTGGCTGATTATATAAGAGCAGACACCTACTCAAGCCAAGTCAGACACAGTCAGTCACTCATCCCATCAAGTCAATCCCCAAGTCTTCAATCAAAAACTAGCAAAAATGTTCGACTGGACCGGTAAGAATGTCGTGTACGTTGGCAGCTTCAGCGGCATCGGGTGGCAAATGATGATGCAGATGATGACAAAGGACATCAAGATGATGGGCATTATGCATCGCATGGAGAACGTCGAGATGATGAAGAAGCTGCAGGCCCTGAATCCCTCTGTTAAGGTGGTCTTCATGCAGATGAACCTGATGGACAAGATGTCGATCGATCAGGCGATGAAGAAAATGGGCCAAATGATGGGCCATATGGATGTGATGATCAATGGCGAGAGTGTGCTGCTCGACAAAGATGTGGAGATGACGATGGGCATGAACCTGGTAGGGCATCCTTAAAGATGATATATTATTCAATTTAATTTACTTTACAACCTCTTCTATAGACTGGCATGATCCACGCCACGATGATGGCGATGCCCTACATGGACAAGACCCAGATGGGCATGGGCGGCATGGTGGTCATGATGTCCTCCGTTTATGGCCTGGAGCCCGCACCCGCGTTTGCCGTCTATGCCGCCGCCATGCATGGCATCCTCGGATTCACCCGCTCGATGGGCGATAAGATGATCTACCAGAAGACCGGCGTCATGTTCATGGCCATGTGCCCGGGTCTCACCAACAGCGAAATGATGATGAACCTGCGCGACAACGTCACCTGGCACCATTCCGAGTCGATGGTGGAGGCCATCGAGAGCGCCAAGAGGCAAATGCCGGAGGAGGCAGCGATGCAAATGATCCACGCGATGGAGATAATGAAGAACGGCAGCATGTGGATCGTCAACATGGGCCAGCTCAAGGAGGTCATGCCCACGATGCACTGGCAGATGTAAAACGGCTAGCCTAATAAAGAGTGCTACTTATGAAAGATTATTAAATAATATTTGTTTTTATATATTTAAATAATTGAAGGGTCAGCTGGAAATAATAAAAAACCAATTTCACCTCTACAATTTTCCGATTTTTTAAACGTATGTCGCCAAACATGAAACTTAGCTTTCACTTACAAATATTTTTTTGAGCCTACTAACAGAAAGAAACGAAATCACAGCTGACTTTGCCTTTGACTTAGGGCTAGTACTCAACCCAACAAAAAGTCGTCCAACACAAAAACTTCATATGAAACAAAATTTTTTGACGTTGATTTTCATATGAAGTTTTTAGTTTTGGACGACTTTTTGTGGGGTTGAGTACTAAGCCTTATACCCAAACAGCTGACAGAATAACAAAAGTTTACAGCCAAATATATGTATAAACGCTTGGCCCCGATCTTTTTCGCTTACTCTTGAGTCACTGATCACGATGAAGTAAAAAAAATATGTCAATGTATTTATGTTCAATTATTAGGTTTTTAGAAAAAAGTTTGTTTTTGTTCACTTGTTTGTACTCGGTCTACTCTACGAGTAACGGGTATAATAAAATAAAAAAGGCTGAAACAAGCGTTCCGGACAAAAGCAAACAAAAAGGACGTTTTTGTAAATAATTTAACAAAATTCAAATAATCCTTTTATATTTTTTGTCGTGTTTTTTACAACTTTTTTTGTTATACCCGTTACTCGTAGAGTAAAAGGGTATATTAGATTCGTGCAAAAGTATGTAACAGCTAGAAGGAAGCGTTTCCGACCCCATAAAGTATATATATTCTTGATCAGGGGCACTAGCCGAGTCGATCTAGCCATGTCCGTCTGTCCATCTGTCCGTCTGTATGAACGCTGAGATCTCGGAAACTACAAAAGCTAGAAGGTTGAGATTTTCCACACATATTCTTTGGCTTCCTACGCAGCGCAAGTTTATTTTAGCCGAGCGCCACGCCCTCTCTAACGCCCACAATCGCCCACTAACGATTTTAAAATGGGTCCTGCGCCCACATCTTTAAAGATTTTCGAGAAGTATAAATGCAATTTTGTTGTGTATATTTATACCTATCGAAATGTAGAAGACATTTTTCAAATCGGACCATGCATTAAAAAGTTATACGCAATCAAAATATCTACATATATCTATCTCCCTCGCACTCCCTTTAGCTGAGTTACGATCATAGCTCGCAAATAACTGTTGACCGATTCGTGCGGTCTCCAAATAACTGTTTTTCTCTGAGACTTTGAGCAAACAATCAGAGAGCAACCGATTGAATTGTTCGTACAGAAATTTTGCTCGCACTCAGCCGACGAGCAGTTTTTTCGGCTTTCTTTTGCTCGGCTCGCTTACAGACCGATTGCTCCTGAACGACGTTTCAAAAAGTCTTTTGCGCATGTGTTAACGTTAACGTGCTTGGGCGATATTGCTCTCCCTTTCACTCGCACGTACTTTCAAAGGGAATACATTGTATAGTTGTATTAGTGAAAAGACTTTTTGCAATGACTTTTTCAGTCAATCGGTCTTTTAATAAGTCTCCCTGTGCGAGCGACATTCGTATCTCTCATTGAACGAGGTTCGTAACAGAGCGTCTCACGAACAGCTCAACGTAAAAGGCTCAACCGAAAACCAAAACGAAAGGAAACGAAGTGTGCTGCGCAGAGAGAGAACGAGGGGCATGCTATTTTTCGGTTGTTCTCGGGAGTAGAGCGTAAGGAAAAAAACGGTTAACAGTTATTTGCATGCTTTGGTTACGATTATAAGTCGGGACACCAACCCGCGTTCGCACTTCCTTTAGCTGAGTGACGGGTATTAGATAGTCGGGACACCAACCCGACTATATTCAAGCGGCACAAAAATTAGCCGATCATTGTTATCCCCTTTCCCCAAGGCATTTGTGGCCATTGAGGCCCTTTTCTCCCACAAAAGGGCACTTTGGGCATGGGTACGCACGGTAATGCAGCATGCAGTTATGGTCCGCGGCCTTAGACTTTTTCGCGATGCGCGTCCAGAACATTGGATCGGCTTGGTCACCCAAAGCCGCCACTGCCCATCGGCGTGCTGGACGCTTCTCTTTGTGACCAGTACTCTTGTCAGGTGGGCGCCGTCCCATTCGACCATTCCGGATCGCGGACGACGCCCCTCGCTGCCACTCCCGCTGCGGTTGTTCTGCTGGGTGCCGTCCCGTCCGACCATTTCGAGTCGTGGACGACGCCCTGCGCTCTGGCTTCTGCTCCTCTCCCTCTGCAAAAAAATAAAATAAATACAATATTTGAAAGAAAATCGTTGCGCCGCAGACACTCATGCATAATGGCCAAGTTTTAAACCTTTTTAAAAATTGCGTAGATCAGCAACTTCACTTCTCACACTGTCACTGAATAAAAGTTTAATAATTAAAGCAAATAAATGGAGAAATACATTCCAAATTAATAAAAAAAAAAAAAAATGGTCTGGGAAACTACCATTTTCCCTCTCATTATTGAATTAAAAACACCGCTGATGAGCGTGTTTTGGCTTGAGTCAGCTGCATTGAGTGGTTTTCGTATGGCCGTTAACAGTGGGCAAGAAATTGAGTGGGAAGAGTTAACAGTGCGCACGAAGTTGAGTGAAAATTGCAGGGCGAAGTTAACAGTGCGCACGAATTGGAGTGGAATCATTAACAGTGCGCATGAAATGGAGTGAAACAGCCGGTGCACAAAAAAATAAGTGACTATCGATAGCATGTTTTCAGTGTTTCATAGTACTAATGAATCTTTTGTAGTGTGACCGAAGTTTTCAGAGTACACCCGCTTTGCATGCAGCATGGTCATATTAAAAATCAGCTGGGTTCACAAACAGCAAACAAATCAACTGGCGCCAATTTTAAAATATTAAAAAAAGTTGCCGCTACTCGTACAGATTATTAAATATATGTGTTCATAATAAAATAATTGGGAGATAATAAAACGGTATACGTATTTCGACAAACATGAAACTTAGCTACCATTTACAAATATTTCATTTCAACAAGTCTTTCAGAAGAGGCACAATCTAGAAAGAACAACTAAAATCGTACAAAAATTGTCGTCAAAACATTTATTCTAAATTTATAAAGCTTAGGTTCATTATCAAAATATCTAGCAATGTCGAAATACACCAGTGCATACAAAGGTTCTTGCATTTACTGTGGCGATGAAGTATCGGTGTGCTCCTTCCTGGGTCGTCAGTTCAGAGTTCCTGTGAGCAAGGCATTTGACAACCCGAATTCCTGCAGTTCAGAAGATTTGGCCTCCCCCTCAAAAAGGGCCAGTCCCAGTCAACGGGCACGTCAATCAAAAAAGGCCGGAAGTTCTCAAAAACGATCTGCCTTTAAAGTTTCTTCGATATATAGGAAAAAACGAACCAATGCCAGTTTAAAAAAGGCCTTACACCAGAAGAAAAGAACAGCTGACAAAGAATCGGACGGATCTCCAGAGCCTCTCTTTAAGGCTGTAATTTTGAGAGAGATGATTAGGCTAGGAAGACAACCAAATATAATGGTTAAGAAGTCTGCAAGAAGCGTAAAGCCTATTAAGAAATGCGTTTCGGAAAGCTCTAATGAAGCTGAGAATCTGGCAGATAATGTTGCTGATTTGATGTAATTACAAGGACCAGCTTGTGTAAAATTATAAAAATACTTTCCTTAACGGACCATAAATCTTTCTAGGCAAGTGCAATGTAAAACTCAGGACTATTCGCAATCCTCCATAATGGAAATAGATGAAACAGTAGGCGAAGATGATCCATAATATCTATAATGAGTATCCAGCGTCTTCTACACATGCAATGATAATATCAGATTATTAAAAGCGAATGGACTAAACCACTAAGTCAGGGAATAAATTAAATAAGTAACAATAACAAAATAGTTTTTTTTAATAAGGTTTTAGCAAAAAAAAGTCTAGCTAATTTGGTAAATAGATAGATGTAAATTTATTATCACATGGTAAAATCTGTATTGCTACAGCCTGAGGTTTCTTATGGTAAGATTCATTATTTAGGATGATCTATTTGCAATGATTTCCCTCCACCCTCCGGTTCAGTTCAGCCTCAAAGTCTGCTTCATTGAAGCTTTTGTTTCGGCGGAAAAACTCGTCGAGTATCTTCGCTTGGCAGTGGCCTACTTCCATCATGGATCGCCAATCGGCGACATTCTGCGGCACTTTCTGATCCTCCAGATGAGCATACACCGGTTCCAGGGGGCAGTTGTAATGACGAGCGTCTGCCTTAAGATTCCTGGCGGTGTTAATTACGTGGTAACAGACCGCACACTCGAACTTTTCAAAGAGTGATCCTCCCGGAGACGAATCACCAATGTGGTACTGCCGCGTGACCAGGTTGTGGAGCAGATTCTTGTTGGAAATGGGGTTGCGCCAATTCAGTTTATGCTGGCGATACGAATCGTACTGGACTTGGTCCTCGCCCAATTCGGTTAAATGCTTTGCCAAGGCCCGCGGATTGGGAAATTCGTTTACAAAAACCGCCGACTTCTTATTCGGCTGCCAGTCCTATATTATTTAAGGAAAATAATTTAAAGCCATTCAAATCATTTCTCAAAATCCACTTACTTTTATTGTGGGTGAGCCAAAGTAAACTGGAATCACTCCCATTATCAACGGGCGCCAGAACTTTTCGGTTATATAATCGGGACAGGCAGCATTCTCAAAGGCAATCATGAACTTGTACTCGGACAGGAAACGCAGCAACTCCGGTGAATAGAGATTATTTAAGTAATCCTTCTGCAGGCTGCAACAAAGGTAACGAAAAATCTTCTAATGTAAAGCGTTTTTATAAGGAATTTTCTTTGATAAATTATAGTTGTAACTATTCTTTAGCTGCTCCCCGTGGAGAACCCCTTGGTCGTCTTCCAGTACTATTTCGTCCATGGTTCACATTCATATTATCATCGGACATTTGGGAATCTTCTTGAACTAAATGTGTGCCCTGTTGACAACTACAATGGTTTTTTGAATCGTTTCCCAATTGAGGATGACAATGGTGGCAGGGCAGCGATCCATACAACTGCACCCAGCACTCTACACAACAGATCTTGGGCAGTTCCGCAGCTCTTGGCGATGTCATGATGTTCTAAAGTTTTCTGTATTATTTTACTTATTGTATGTTATTTAAAATATGTGGCTGTCTTTATAGTGATTGAAATATACCCTAAATTGAGTGGATCACAAAGGAGTAGCCTACTTGCCTTTCCGGTAAATCTTTGTTACGCAGGCAGCTGCCGTAAGAATCGATCGAGAGATGCTTCATCAGCTCCTTCACGTAATCCTCCCTTCCAGACATTGTGTCGCAGTCGCTTTGGAGGAACACCACCGACGGAGACGGACGATATACGTGTCTGGACTTCCCAGGGAAGGAAACAAAGTAGTCCTTAGAGGTAAGTGCCTGTCCACTGGGCAAGTACTGCGTGGTCAGGGGAAAGTTACTGAAGCGGCTGAAGGTCGAGGTGAAGTGAAAGTTTCGGAGAAACTCTTCATTGGACACGAAAGGAGCGTTTCGGGGGGATTCTTCATGCAGTAAGGCCCACACTTGATGCTTGGGACGCGGAAGGGGAAAGTCGCCCGTCTTCAAGTTGGAGCCGTAGAACAGAACGCCCTGCCAAAAATATGATATTTATGGGTATAAATTATATATTATAAATTGATTACATATGCATAATAATCCTTCAATACCTCCTAATTTGTTTTGGATTTTTAGATGAACATGCAAAAGAACTTAGAAATACAAATATGTCGGTGAACTAATATTATATTTATTATAATGAAGTGTTTTCAATATTTGTATGTTAATATGTTGATCTACGGTTTCAGTTAAAACTAAACTAATCTTAAAGCCTAATTAACACTTATAGTAACTTATAAAATTTATAATATAAATAGGTAAAAAGATCGTGAATTCCAAAAGGTAACTTAACCTTTTAAAGTTTATAACCCTTATCCAAATTGGAGGAGGTACATAAAATTGTAATAATAATTTAATTATTAAAAATTATTTAAAGAGCTGCTATTGCCCAGAGCTATAATTTCTATGCTGTAGATCAGCGCTTAAGAGAATCTTTATAATTCTTATCTGCCGGATGTGGAGCAAGAAATCTATACTTTTCAAGGCAATATTCACGAACCCGGGTCATCGGCAGGCGGCTGCGCTTGTTGGAGATGCGGCACGTGTGGATTCCGCACTGGCGCTCCTCGTCGTAGTTCCAGGACATGTCCCTGGACCACCAGACCAGCTCCACAGGACTGTTGTGCTTCGAATTGTCGCGGTTCCTGACTTCGTAGATGAGGTATATAATGCCCAGCCAAATGCCTAGCGCCACGGCCAGGTAGCGTAGTGCCAGCCGCATGGCTGTCCTTAAAGTCCTGGTTTACAGGATGAAGAGGGTAATTCCGCGCACCTTCGATTCGGATTCAAAAAGCCGGTGCGCCGCAATTTCGCTATAGCGGTTGAATTTCGACTGCGAGTCGTCAGCTGATTTTTGCCACAGGGCAGTGTTGTATAACGCCTGTCCGTTTAAGGCACACTTCACACGAAACGACCGGTAGAGTGTGCTCGTTGCATGACGTGCGCTTAAATTTTTAGTTTTATTTTTCTTTTTAACGTTAAAGATTAATTTTTTGCCGATAAAATAAATGTATTTATTTATTGTTCAATGTTACCGAAAATAATATAAATAATATTCAACAGATAACTGAATAAGGTTTGTGAATATTTTTGCACAGAAGAAGTAGTCTCTAATTTTTATGACTTAAAAATTCTATATTTTTTAAGGCTTTCTTTTACAATTTGTTTATATTGCTCAAATATGTTGGACACGCCTTGAACATGCTCAATGCGAATGCTATATCGACAATTTTATTTATTTTATATTTGAAATTTCGAGAAAGTCGTATATAAATGGGTATGTATTCCCTGACAGTGTTATTGCTTTACTCCTTTCCGATTAATTATTGGAAAAATACGATGTTCTCCAAAATAATTTAATAATATTCGTTGTTTAATATATGTTTATTTTCTTTATAAACAATTTTTTATTTTAGAAAATGATTTATGTCATACAGTTGTCATCATGCATGCTTGACCGTTTCCAACCCTCGCCAGCTGTCATTCAGCCCTTCGTCGCTTTGAAACACTGCAGTTCGTCATAATATTGTTCCACTTACAATTGCTCAATTAACCGACCGAAGCAACAGAAACAGCCAGAAATCCGACGAAATGCGCCCATTCCTTCGCCTGTAAAGCCAGCAAACGTGAGTGGTGTCGTCGCAGGGCAAGCAAAATGCAACATCTGGCGAAAAAGAGCGACGAGCGAAGGTAGAAAACAAACATTGACATAACACGTCAACGGTTGGGAGCAGCAGCAGGTAAACCACCGGGGAAACCATACGGAGCATGTGTTATGGCCACAACAAGATCCTCGGGAGATGCCGCCACGTCCGTTGATTCCGCCGCGGGAGCAGGAGGCGCCGGGATCAGGAAGCTGTCCACGGCCAGTGGTGGAGGAATCGCAGGAGGCGGCGGAGGAGGAGCGGCGCCCAGCTGGCAGAGCTGCTACTATTGCACCCGGGAGCAGTTCAAGACCATCAGCGACTTTGTCAAGTGAGTGGCCTCCGAGATATCATCTTTCCATATCTATCTCGACCAAAAACCGCTTTTATCTTAACTACATACGTAAGCGCATATTTACACACATATGACTGAGTTGCAATGATAAAAACAGCAGGTAAAATTTAACAGGCAGCAGGTAAAAATAATTAAATTTTGTGTAGCTACAGTTGAATTTCCATAATTCGAGGTCTCTCAGGGCATCCCAAAAATATGTCTCAAAAAAGATTTTCATATATGGCGAATTTATTTCTCAACATAGCAAAAACTCTAAAAGATCTCAAATTAAAGTATCCTTCAAATAGAAAATTCAAATTTTTAGTCAATTGAATTTTTTCTCCTTAAAGAGAATATTTGGAAATCTACTATCTTAAAATATTTGTATTCAATTCAAAAACATCATAAGTATATATAATAAAATGCCATACTTAATCCTGAAATTTAAGAAACTAACTGGTAAATCAAAAGTATGTCTTGAAAAAGATATTCATTTATGACGAATTTATTTCTCAACACACCAAAAACTCTAAATGATCTTAAATTATAGAATCTTTCAAATAGAAAATTCGAATTTCTAGTCAAATGATTATTTTCCCTCCAAAAGAATATTTGGAAAACTACTTTCCTAAAATATAGGTATAAATTCAAAAAAATCATAAATATATACAATAAAATGCGATATTTAATGGTCAAATTTAAGAAACCAACTGGTAAATCAAATAGGTTAATAAACAATAAATAATAACATGATAGAAATATAAATGTTGTATTAAATCAGAGACGTTTAACTACTTATCCTACTTCAGGATCTACACTTTATGGCCGATTTTAACGACTCATTTAAAATACAACAAAATCAGCAATTAATCATTATAATTACTAATTGAAAAATGCGTCATGAAATATATAAACTATTTTAAAAGCAGCTCTAAAATATTATTCATTTCAGTCACCTTCGAAATCGCCACTGCACCCGGGAAGGCGGCTCCTTCGTGTGTCGCTACGGCTTCAATGGGGTGTGCGCCTCCCTGCCACTGGACGGAGTCTCGGATCGCGACTACGACGCCCATGTGGCCAAGTACCATGTCAACCAGCACACGCGCGAGATGCCGCCCGAATGGGGAGTCTACTCGGCCGCGCAGAACTTGCCCGCAGTGCTCAACGATCCCTCGCGCGGCAAGCAGAGCAATCTGTTCACCAAGAAGTGGGGCGAGCACTTTGTGGAGCGCACTCATGTCCCGGCCTCTCCCCGACTGCCGGATATAACGCACGCCGACTTTGCCGTCTATCTGGGCAGCATTGGCAAGCGGTATCGCTGGCATGAGCGCCGCCAGCAGCAACTGGAGCGGGATAAGCCGCTGGAGAATGGAGCACAAGGAGGAGGAGCATCGGGATCGGGACAAACACCCACCCACTTGAGTTCGGTGCCCGAGATCTTTCTCAAATCGCAGCTGCAGCTACACAACCCGGCCACCTTCAAGCAGGTGTTTCCTAATTACATGCAAACGTCGGCTTCGAGTCCGGAAACCCACCAGCAAACTGGACGCCAGCTGCAGGAGCAGCTGAGTCACTACCTGGACATGGTGGAGGTGAAGATAGCCCAACAGGTTTCGCAGAAATCGGCGGCATTCTTTCACGCCATGACCACACAGCATGCCATTCTGGCGGAAATGGAACAGGCAGCGGAGCAAGTGCGTCAACTTAGAGCAGCACTGGCCCAACTACATAGCCATTCGGTTGTGGACAGCTTCAAGGTGCTGCGGTTTGCGCAGAGAAGACAGCACTACAACCTCACACTAGACAAGCTCCGACTGATGGCCACCGTGCACAAGACGCAGCCGATGCTGCAGCTCCTCCTGGGCACCCAGGACTATGTGGCTGCTTTAGATTTAATAGGAACCACCCAGGAGATTCTCTCCGCCGAACTGCTCGGCATTCACTGTTTCAAGCATTTGCCCATGCAGCTGAGCGAAATGGAGAAGCTGATCGACAAGATGCTGACCACGGAATTCGAACGCTACGCTGCCGCGGATCTCAATCGCCCGCTGACGGATGCGCTCCGCGAGACGGACAGCGTTTGCGCCGAGGAGGACAAGCTGGTGGCCATTGTGATGGGTCTGCTGCGCAAGCAGAACTTCTCCTTTGTCCAGGCGTATCAGCAGGAAGCAATTGCCACCATTCGGGCTATCATAAAACAGCTGCTGATTGAGGTTTTGGCCCGCAGTGACAGCGATCAGGAGGTCAGCTTAACGGGTCACGGCGAACAAGCGCTGGAGCTTAGTTTACCCGAGTGGATTGCCCTGCTTCAGCGCTCCAGTCAGGCCTTGGTTTCCATACTCGAAAGAATCAAAACTGTTGTGGGAATAATGCAGCAAACAGCGGACGCAGCCGTGGGCGCCCAGGATGCAGTGAATCTGATAGATTCGGAAGCCTTTCTCAGTCCCGGACACCATGAGCAATTAAAGTCTCAGCTGCAGCAGCTCTTGCAGGCCGTCTGCCATTACTGCCATGAGCGTTGTGCCAATATTGTGTCGCCTCAGAGTCTCGAAAAGAGTTTGGCAAGCGAGCAGGAGCTCTGCCAGCTCTCCGAGATTGTGGATCAGTTTGGCGAGACAACGAGGAGCATTTGTGGAGTGGCCAGTGTGCCACTGCAGCTAGCCTTAAAAGTGCAGGCCTCGCGATTTGCTCAAAGATTCCACGCCGAACGGAAGCAAAAGTTGTCGCTGCTTTTGGATCAGGAGCGCTGGCGCCAGGTGGACATACCGCACGAGTTCCAGCGGATAATCGATCGCATGGCGGCCGGGGATTATGCCAAACCCGAGATGGGCAACCTAATCAGCAATGGCCTAGGCAATCCCGTGCTCTTGGTGGAGGGAAAACAGCCGTACACCCTGGTCAGCGCCTCGCTGATGCTCATTCGAATGCTTTATGAATACGGAGGAAGTTCGCATCGTATGCCATTGCTGGCCAGCTATCATGCCCGCAATGTGGTGGACCTGCTGCGGTGTTTCAACTCTCGCAGCTGCCAACTGATTATCGGAGCGGGAGCGATGCGGGTGGCCGGTTTAAAGACCATCACTAGCACTAATTTGGCGCTGGTTTCCAGAGCACTTCAACTGGTCCTCTGGCTGCTGCCCAAGCTGAGGGAGCACTTCCAGGCGATGAGTGGCTACGAGGCCATCGAGCGGGATTATCAGGGTCACATCAAGGAGATCGAAAACAAGATACACGGCATTGTGTCGGAGAGATTGGCCGCCCAACTGGAGGCCTGGGAGGCGAGACCGCCGATACCGTCGCAAACCTTCCGCCACATCTCCCGCCATCTGGTGAAGCTGCACGAGGCCATCGCTGGGGTGCTGCCCGAGGCTCAGATCCACGAGATCTACGGCGTGGTGCATCGTAACTTCAAGGACAAGCTGCGGGAACAACTGCTCAAGCTGAATGTGAACAACAATGGGGGTCCACAGCATGGAGTGGTCACTTCGGAGCTAACCTTCTACATGGAGACGCTGCGCACACTGAAAGCCCTGCCCGCCGAGCAGCTGGACAACGGAATTCTGGAGGAGATCTGGCTCTACTGAGCATTCCGAAGTATTCTTCATTGTTTGTTATCCTTGTTTTATTTATACCATTTGAATTGTCGCGTCTATTTTGTTTGCCACTGTACATTGCTTGTACTTTTATGTTCCGCCCTAAAACGAAAGAAATGGTACATTTATCTCTTTTGTTGCGCACCTTTTATAGCACCTAAGCTTAAAGTCAGTGAAAAGGCTTATGATTAAAGAGTAATAATAAATCAAAAAATCTTTTAAATACGTTGGAATTAATGGCGGAAAGTTTATCTTTTGTATATTCAAATTTAAATTAACTATTCACAGTAACGGTCTCTTCGCCAGCGTTGCCAGACTGTCGCCGTTGCCAATGGCAACCGTTACAAATGCCAAACATAACGAAATAGTTTTATTTTTTCCACTTTCTATGCGATGCGCTTGCCGCAAATCTTTCACACTCTGCACAAGCGTCTCCAAAGAATGTTTGAAAAGAGCAACGAGGGCGGCGAGAGTGCCACGCCCAGCATTCAGGATATCGCCGGTCGACTGGCGGAGGAACAACAGCGACTTCGCCAACTGGAGGCCACCACGATGCCCAAGGAAAGGACACTTTTAGTCCTGGGTAGCAAATGTGTGGTAAGCTATTGAAATGTAATGTTAACAAAAATGAAATAAGATTTAATGTACTCGCTCTTAAATTAATTCCCATTTTTTATTCATAACAGTGAAATAGCAGGGAATTTTATAATTTTATATATATAATTTTATATATATAGTTATTTAGTAATCAAAAGTTTTGATTTAAAACCAATCCTGTGATAGAAGGAAATATGATAAATTTTAAAGGTTTAAAAATTATGTCTTTTTATTTAATTTTTTTGGATTATTTTTTATTTATTTTTTGTTTGAATTAAAAAAACAATTAATATTGGATGTACAAATAAGAAATATCCTATTATAATAGTGTCTCTTCTTTACTACCTTTATATTTCACAAACATAATAATATTTTAAAACTCCAGGGAAAGACGACGGCTATAAATAAATTCTTCGATCGCGAGGAGCACGCAACGCGTCCAACTTTGGCCCTGGAATATAGCTTCGGGCGAAGAATCGGCAGTGGAAAGTCCCCCCAAGTGATGAACGTTTGGGAACTGGGATCCCTGGACAATGCCGAGCAATTGCTGGAGGTTCCCATTAAAACGCATGGTCTGCAGCAACTAGCCGTCTTCATAATGTTGGATCTCTCGCAACCACAACGATTTTGGACGGATTTGGAGTGTGCCTACAAGGGACTGAGGGATACGGCGCAACAGATGATGCAGAACCTAACGCCAGATCTCAGGGAGATTCTCGAACAGCGAACAATGGAGCGAGTGGGTCAGCACAACAAGGAGGAACTGGGCGACCTTGAAGCGCTGCCCTTTCCAGTGGTAATTGTGGGTGGGAAGTACGATATTTTCTCTGGATTTGATCCGGCCATCCGGAAACACACCTGTCGCTGTCTTCGCTCAATGGCCCATCTAATTGGCGGTGCATTGCTATTCTACTCCCACCGGATGCCCAAACTGGCCAAGGTCCTGAGGGACACCATTAGCCACATGGGATTCGGAAGTCCTGCACATCCGTTCCGCTCTCATGTCGTGGATTTCAATGAGCCACTTTGCATTTGGTTCGGCACGGATAGTTGGTCGAAAATCGGAGATACTGGAGCCCAAAGTTTGGAGCGAATTGGAGCCACATTCGGGGTGGAAGTGCCGCAGCTGCAGATGGAAAAGCAGAAGCTACAGGAAACCCCAGATCCGTCCAAGGATCCTGGTTTTAGGGAGTCCCTCATCGATGAGATGCGATCGCAGAAGAACGAGGAACTCGCTGGTTTAATGAGAGATGCCTTGCTTCGTGGAAAGTTCGAAAGTGTTCAGAACTAGCAGAAAATACTGGGATTAATAAATGTTGTGTACCTCAAAGTATTAAAGAATGTCAGAGATTAAACTAAAATTGTGAATTCATTTGTCTTACTGCTTTTAATACACAAAATTTCTCAAGCAAGCACAGCGTAAGTCGTCAGTGGTAATATATTCATTTTTAGGTTCAGAATTAAGAATTTTCTAAACTTCAGATTGATTTGATCAAAATAAAATGTCTCAACCTGTCGCCTCAAAGGCTCGTGTCATTAAGATCCTCAACCGAATTGGAGCCCGTGGCATACTAACGGAAGTCCGAGTGCAGTTGGTCGATCAACCCAGGATGCAATTTATGCGAACTGTCAAGGGACCTGTGAGACTTGGAGACATTGTGGATTTCGAAGATACCGAAATAACTTGGCAGTCTTCAAGCAAGAGCAACAGCAACTTTGGTGATATTTGCTAAAACTTTGGTTCAGAAAATGGAATCTGGAGTCTTAATCAGTTACTTCAAAAGAGTTACAATTAAAAAAATCAAGAAAATCCAAATCTTTATCACAACCAAAAAGATTATAAATTTGTTTTGCCATTATAATTTAATGATCTCGAAGTTACCACAATAAATTTTGAATTGAAATGGTTATTACCCGAATTTTTTTTGAAATCATAATTTTTTGTATTTTTTGGGAGTTAGTTTAAACTTTTGCCTTTGAATTTTTGGTAAAATATGTAAGTTATATCCCAAAACAAAGTTTAAAAACATGTATTTCGCGGGCTAACAAGCATAACAACTTTGAAATGGATGTCAGATAATAAACAGTATGGCAACACCATTACAGGGATGCAACAAGGAATTTGCCAATCACGTGTTGCCTGCAATTACCGTTATAAAGGAGCGCACGACTCTCGCTCTGCCCACTCTCCCCGTCTCGCTCGCTCTTTTGGGGAGCTCGGGCTCCAAGCAGACGCCAGCTGCGACGCCGACTGCGCGGCCGGCGTTTCGGTGGGGACTCGCTTGGGGTTTCAGTTTGATTTGAGCTCGGTCGCCACAGTCGCTGTCAACTGCTCTCGCGTGGCGGAGCTCTCTCCGCTCTTTCCTCGGCGGTCGTGTGTGTGTGTGCGTGCACGCGCGGGTGTGTGTGTGCGAATTTGTTTGGTGCGAATTTTTGGGCAAAAAACTCCGGCCCGAGTTCTACATTTGTAGAAAATTATGAATAGTGGCCAGCCCAGAAACATGAGAAGCTTCGCGGCCCTGAAACATTGTAATTAAAACCAGCTCGACTCGACGACGGCCCCCGAAAAAGTCTCCAACTTCGCACCGTAAAGTTGCTGCGTTGTGTAATCAGTCCGAAACGGAGTTTCTCGCTTTGTTTGTTTTTCTCGGCTTTATTTTCGGCAACAACAAAAATATTTTTAAATTGCTTTAAGCTTGGGCAGTTTTGTGGAAAAAGCTCTCGGAAACTTCAAAACTTGACAAATAAATCATCACAGGTGAGTTGGAATAATACATTTCTCAGGCACACACACGGGCAAACTCGAGCGAAATTGCTCTGCTCCAATTTTTTTGTTGGGTCACGGTATAAAAAAAAGAATCAACTAGCAGACCCCAAAACACCAAATTATCGATTTTCTTTTGGGAGCTCCATTTCTGGCGCTCTTTTTTTTACCCATATATTTTCCTGCGATTTTATTCCTGCACGTGAGCGTGTGTGAGTGTGCGTGTTTGGTGGGGTTGTGTCTGTGTGTGTATTTAATCAAGAACAGAAACAGTTTTCCCTGCAGCTTACCGTTAGCCGAGCTGAGCAGCCGCATTTGCATTTTGTCACATTGCCAAGGCAACGCGACCCAAACGCCATATGGTCGCGATCTGATACCCTAACTCGATTCGGTTTTCTTGAGGGCTTTTCCACACTTTCGTTAAGTTGGTGACTTCCTTATCAAGGCTTTTACATTTACATGTGATCTCAGAAGATCAAATATACACCCGTGCATATAACGACGGCAATTAGCAGTATCAAAATCTGGATGAGTCAGCTTTTTACCAGTTATTTGGCGTTCCGGTTTAGAAACATATCCATTCTAAATTCAATAATTATCGTTCCTAGGAAAGAAAACTTCAAACCGTACAAATTTTTTAAATCTTAAGAATTTTAATTAAAATTCAACAATGTAAATTTCGGTTTACAGATATTTCAATATCTTCAGGTTGAAATATTGCACGTATTTTTTATGATTTAATGCCAAATTATAATTTTCTCTAATAACTTAGGAGAATCTATATATTAAATTTGAATTTTGAAATAATAAGTTAACAATCTAATAAAATCTGAAGGGTATTTAACGACTGTCATTTAATGTTTGTGGTTTTTTATTCTGTTATTCTGTTTTATTTTCCTTCTTGTTGTTTATGTACGTTGGACTTGCGACGCTTGCATTATTGGGATTTCTTTATTGGCAGCCTGTTTATTGTTGCTGACTTTTTGGTGTTTTCATTACTGGCACGCTTTTCTGTTTCTTCGTTCTTTATCACATCCTTTGACCCCAATCGCCGTCTCGCCTTGTTTTGATCCCCAAACAAACAAATAAGTATTGGATTCTCGCCATCGAACATTAATTTCAACGCATTAGCCTCGTTCGTTAATAAATTATTGAAGTTATGACTTCAGAAACCCGAGTTAATTTGCCTTATTTGGATATGCCCACGCTTAGAATTTCAATCTGAAGAATACATACAAGCAATCAGTGCCCCGAAGCGTTCTATTTTTGCTAAAAAAGAACAAAGCAAATAAAATACTTGAAAATATTCAGTTTTTTGTATCTTTAACCCGAGGGCGTGGAGACCAAAACGTATCTACGAACCTTAGTCGCTTGCCTGTATTTGTGTGCGATGATTAATCATAATAATTTGTATTAAGACCCCTTAAACCACTCCGACGGCATCGGCGGTTGGTAACAGTAAAGCTCCTTTCAGTAACTTGGCTTATGTTCATTTTGGCATTGGTTACTTTCGAAAAGCCTTTCGGCAAATACAACGACCTTACTTCACACAAATATACATATTCATTAGTATACATATACATAGTCATTAGTAATGACTTGCACTCGAAAATGTTAATTGAACCATGAAAGAGCGTGTAAATTAGAACTTTGCACATACACACGAAAAATACGATAAAAAGAAATCTGCTAATTAAAGCTTCAAAACTGGAATTTTAAACAAAAAGATATAATAAACATTGAGTGACAAATGGCACCCAAAAAAAGTGTGAAGCGAAGATCAGACAATCAAGTTCATGAAGCAGTCGGAGTAAGAAAAAACAAGTGGGGGTGCGATCAGTTCAGAGCGCAATCAACATTTATTATTATATGTCAAATATAATTTAGGATGGCAATTTGTCGCGGAACAAATTATTTCCCTTTCTGTCTGCTTGGCAACTGAGATGCGATTGGGGTAGGGTAGGGTGAGAAGCAAAAAAGATCATGCAAAAAGAAAGATACAATTTGCATAACAGTATATCTTATGATTCCAATTGAGGCACTGGAAAGATTCGAGAATTATACAGGGTATAACAGATGAATTCTTGATAATCATAAAAACAAAGCAATCAAAACGCTTTCGTTAAGATTATGCTGGTCTACAGAATACAGTGAAGTCTTAACTTTTCTAAGAAATCGAAATTTTTTTGTTGGAAAATTATTATTTTTAAATAGATATATTAATATATAAATTAATATATTATGTCAACATTAAACAGACAATCATTTTATTTCCGCATAGATTCGTTATCAAATGCTTAATTTAATTAGTTGACCAGGTGACTTGATTTGGTTGATGATTACAAAAGAGACCAATAGACTGATTAGTGCGGATAGTTTGTCATTGAGTACCCAATGTGACTCCAACATGTAATCACCGTCCGGGTAGGGAAGCACTTTCGTAAGATGATGGTTGACGACCTCCGTGGAAAGTTTATCCGCAATTATATCGTGCTAAAAAATAAGAAATATTAAAATAACACGGACTTCCAATGAATCCATTTCTATACATACATTGTAAGGACAAGAATGATTCACGTTTGTATTTCCCTTAATAATGTCGAAAAAAAACTTAGCAACAGGATTGGACTTTTGATGGTTTAAGAAATAGCAACCATCTATGGTTTGATTGTATAGAAAAGGCTTGTAACCACTAAACCGTTTGTACAGTCCAAAATTAACCTGAAATGTCAACGGTTTCATTTTTCGTAATATGCTAATCATTAGAACAATTACCTTCATCTTGGTAAGTGGAATTTTGTACAATTTAATCTTTTCCGAAATGTATTTGTACGTCCGATTTATCGACTTTAAAGTGCAATATTCAAATTCGGCAAAATTCTTATCCACGGGACTACACTTGATGTTGGTAAACTCCACTCGAGAAGTGATCTATAAATTCGATGGTTTTGAAAACCAATAACTAATTTTCGAACAACTTACCTCTCTCATTACTAACGACAGCACCAGTAAACGAACCCAACAAGTTGTACTTGCATACATCATATTGCATTGATAGACTCAGGAGAACTAAATTCAATTTGTGTGCATATTCCCATTTTCTTTTTTTTTTACATAATTTTGAATTATACAATTATTTTTTATCAAAATGTTTGAATTTAATTATTTTATAATTATTACTGGATCTTAAATTGATGAGTATATTAACAATAGATTCAACAAATTGTAACTTTTCTAGAATCTAACCGTAAAAAAAACGTAAAGGCTTTTTTGTTAGCAAACTGTTAGTAAATTAATACATTATCTTTGTATCAATATTGAACAGATAAGCATTTTATTTCTGCATGGTATCGTTATCAATTTTAATCAAATTAGTTACAATATCAGTTTATCACTCTTGTAAGAGACTCGCTTATCTTCATGATTTAGTTATACAAATCCATTTTCTTTTTCAATGAACTATGTTCGCATAAATAAAATTATATTAGTTGAAAGTATTATCCATTTTCGTTACCAAATTTGTTATATGAAACACCGTTTAGAGATGATTTTATTTGATTCATAATTAGGAAAGAGACAAATACAATTTGATTACTGCGGCTAGTTTGTCATTAAGTACCCAATGTGTCTCTGTCATGTAATCACCGTCCGGGTAGGAAAGAACTTTCGTAACATGATGGTTAATGATCTCCGTGGAAAGTTTCTCGACAACAATATCGTGCTAAAGAGACTCAGAAATATTAATATGATACAAGCCATCCAATCAATTCATATACATACATTATATGGACAAGAATGATTGACGTTTGCGTTTTCCTTTACAATGTCGAAAAAAAACTTGGCGACAGGATTGGACTTCTGATGGTTTAAGAAATAACAAACATCTACGGTTTGATTGTATAGGAAAGGCTTGTAACCATTAAACCTTTTATACAATCCAAAATGTACCTGAAACGCCAATTTTTTTAGTGTGGTAAGTAAGGCCTTGAAATTAACTAAACAGATATATGTATACCTTGATCTTGGTAATTGGAATATTATACAATTTCATTTTTCCCGAAATGTATTTGTACGTACGATTTATTGACTTTAAAGTGCAATATTCAAATTCGGCAAAATCCTTATCCACATGCGTACACTTGATGTTGGTAAACTCCACTCGAGAAGTGATCTACGAATTGGTTGGATTTGAAAAATTAATAAATAATTTTCAAATTTCTTACCTCTTTCAATATTAACGACAGCACCAGTAAACGAAAGCAAAAATTTGGACTTGAATGCATCATATTGTATTAATGGACTCAGAAGAACTAAATTTTATTTACAAACATAATCACATTTTTTATTTAATATAATTTTGAATTATAAAGTCATTACTTATCAAAACGATTGGGTTTTAATCGCTATATAATTATAACATTCGGCAGCGGTTCAAAGAACACGTGATTTTAACATGATTTTTAAAATCTATTAATCGCAAAATTTGTATAGGCTTTGCAAGTAAATTAATATTTTATCTTTGTGTCAATATAGAACGGATAATCATTTTATTTCTACCTACCTTCTTTATCACATTTAACCAAATCCGATATCATTTGATGATTACTATCCCAACTTTATCAGTCTCGTCTATCTAACTGATTTGTTTATTCAATTAAATTATTTTTTATCTTGTTAAGTTATCTTTGTTGTTTTTGGTTGAACACACACAAAACAATAATAGTTTAGAACATCAAATCGTGACAATTACAAACATATTAAGAGAATTTTTTTTGGTATGGTTTTTTATTGATTTTTTTGGTACAGCAAATCTTAATTATTTCAAGCTCTACTTAACTACAAACAGGGCTGTGGGAATGAAGGCTGCTGGCACTGATAGAAAATTTATTTATTCAGTCGAAATATATTATTAATTTTCGATATACAATTTAATATTACAACATGTTTTTGTGGAAGGTGCTATTATCACGACTTCCTGACTTCGGGAAGATTTGTGTTTCTTTGATTGCTTTTTAGGATAAGGAAACATAGACTTGGACTTTGGCAGATAGTATGCCATTTAGCACCCAATGTGTATTTAACATGTAGTCACCATCCGGGAAGGATAGCACTTTTGTAATATGGTGGTTGATGATCTCCGTAGAAAGTTTCTCGACAACAACATCGTGCTAAAGGGACTCCAAAATTGTATATAATTGGTATTTCCGTTCAAAACATACTTACATTATATGGACAGGTGTGATTAATGTTTGTGTTTCCCTTAATAATGTCATACAAATACTTTGCGACAGGATTGCCCTTCTGATGGTTAATAAAATAGCAAGCATCTAAGGTCTGATTGTAAAGGAAAGGCTTGTAACCATTAAACCTTTTGTACAGCCCGAAATTAACCTGAAATGACAATATTTTTGTAGTTTTGTAAAGCTTTATTAATAGGTCCTCAGATACCTTGACTTTGTTAATAACTTCATAGAGCTTAATCTTCCCCGAAATGTATTTGTAGGTACGATTTTTCGCCTTTAGAATGCAATATTCGAACTCGGTAAAGTTCTTATCCATAGTCATACACTTGATGTTTGTAAACTCCACTCGAGAAGTGATCTATAAAGAATTAGTTTTTAAAAACTATTAGTAACTTCGATTTACTGACCTCTTTAATTATAAACGACAGCACCAGTAAACGAAAAAAAAAAGTGAAACTAACATACATCATATTGTATCGATGGACTCGGGAGAACTAAATTCTATTTACGCGCATAGTCGAATGATTAAAACTATTGGGTTTTAATTGATTAATAATTATATAACATTTAGTGGCGGGTCGATGAACACTAGCTCTTAAATTGATGAAAATATTAACAATAGATACAATAAAATATAATAATTAGTCATAGCTACATTGAACTTTAACCAAAACATTTTAGTTGTCATTGAATCTTCGATTCAAAATGAGTGAGCTTGGATATATTTCACATTTGGTGATGTGGCAAAGAAAGCCAACACTTAGGAGAATTAAAAAAGTGTTGTTTTTATATCGGTGAGGTCTTTGATTTATTATCACCAAAGAATATATCATAAAGTGGTTGAGCGAAGCCCCCGCTTTTGGCTCCTAAGCTGCGACTGTTTGTCTAGAAATTTATCAAGATTTCAACGACGTGGCTGCCATCGGAAGCACAAAAACACACAGCATACAGAAAGACAGACAGGCAGGAACAAGCTCCTTTGTCATGCGGCATGCTCGTAAATCTAATGGCATCTGCGAGATACAAAAGATACATTCGCAGTGCGCGCATTATGTGCATAAATATTACAGATGCGTCTTTGCACCACCATCCGAAATGTCATCTGTCATTGGAAATGCAGAAAGACCCGATGGCAAGTGTCAGCAAAGGATAATGTAACATTAATATTGGCAGATCGATATGCATATGTCATCCTGTTATTTCAAAGTTATATTTAAACTTCCATTTAAAATATTTAAATCTAATTTTTAAGTTCCCAGAACAACTAAAGCGTCAAAGTAGTACCCACCACTTACCCCAAAAGTTTTCAAATGTACGATTGCATCGAATTTTTATAGCGGAAACTTAAAGTTAGCTTTACATTAATTAACTGCTCCCCAAGCATGACCGAACTGACCCCTCCTTAACCATGTTCAGGGTACAGAACCAAATAAAATCAGTGCCCTGTCCCAGTGAAAAGGTAACCCAGTTGCATGGGGCACAATGAACTGCCGTGAATCCCCGTGAACGAAGGAAATGGGAAGCGACTGCAGTCGCAGCTCACTGAAGCATCAAACGACCAGAAGGTGACTTAAAGCTGCAACCCGGAGCCTTGAATCAACAACTTCCGAATCCACTCCACTCCACACCATGCCACACCGTACCAACCCATCCCGCAATTGCATTCCGTGTGCGTGCCGTAGTATCTGGTAGATATGTACGTTCTGCCAGAGCTCCATGGTCATAAATGAGCAACCAAGCACGACAGCAGCGCGGCGGCATCGACTGACATCCCACTTAGAGATGGGCTGAGATGTGCTCCACCCGTAAGTCGCATCCCCAGCACTTCTCTTCCCCCTTGGAAAAATATCACCCACGGATACGCAGAGCCGATATTTAACGTCGGTTGACAAACGCAAAGTGTGCATAACTTTTAGTAGAGCATGAAAAATTAACTTTAATTCGATTGTAGGCAGTTCCCCGTTGGCTCTTCGTCCATTACTTCTTGGTCTTCTACCGGTGACGAAGTGCCTGGGTGCAGTTTCGTTCGCCGGCCAATTAATGTGTGATAATTAAATTGTGATATCAGCTGAACAATTTACCAATTAAAGCTGCAAAGAGCAGTGGCGGCTGAAGATGATGGGCATGAAGAGCGCTTGGCTTGTAGGTGGAGATGTTCAAGATAAATTGGGGAAAATATATAAAGGTTTTCTTCGTTTTGCAAAACTAGAAATAATACTAACCCCATATGATACGGTTTTATAAAACTTTTTTTTAGAAAAAATATTATTTTAAAAATTTTTTTATTAAAATGTATAATAATATCGAATGTTAGATCTAACCTTTTAAGACCTCACCTACCTGAGAAGTTAGGTTTAAGGAAGTTGAGAGAACGAAGGAATTCTCACGTCCTCGAAAACTCGACCTCAACTTCCTTCCCTATTTTCTTACTTCCCTAGTTCATGATCCAGCTAATGAGCAATTTAGCAGGAGCGCTCACATCCTTTTGCCCCCAAAAAAGGCAGCGAAGCGTTAAGGCAAAACTGTCTGGCGGGCAAGGATAATGCCACAGACACTTGAGCTGGGATGTGCTTAGGTCAGAAGTTAGTTCATACGGAGACGGAGAAAATGTAATGTTCCCAGCCTGGAAAATTTGCATGTTTTGCACAATTCCGAGCAAGCCCCGGGCGTCCAATCAGGGGGATTAAATTTTTGGTGGTGACTGCTTATGCTTTATGAGCAATTAATATGTCAGTTAGCGGCTTGGACAGATTGATGGGGTTGTTGCCTCGTCGGTCCGAGCCGAAAGCGAAAGCAAACCAGAGCAATTAGATGGGGAACTGTCAACGGCAGGCACGAAAATGCCAGGAACTTGGAAAGTTTTCCTTCGTTTTCCTCAACGGCTCGTGCTCGGCACGTTTTTGCATGATTTCCGGCGCACCCTCGCTGGATTTTCTCTGGCGGACTGAGTGTGGGGTTAACAAGGACACTCCCTGGCATTTGTAGGCCGACTCGAGCGTGCGGCACATTATCCTTAAGCGTCGCCGCGACCGACGCTTGTCTTTATGTCCCAGCTACAAGTGTAAATGCTGAGAACAGCTTTTTCTCCGGAGAAAGGGCGAAAAGAAACGGTAGGTCGGGTGAGAATCAGAGTCAGGAGCAGGCAGAATGGGCATGGCGCGTGTTCTGCCCACAGTTCCCGTGGGAATTCCCAAGAACCTCATATCGTGGGCGTGCGAACAAATTTCTGTACCCGTTTCCTGTGGCTTGACTCCTTCGGTAAATGTCAACACGGTTTAATGGGGTTGATTTAATCCAGAGGTATTTTGCTATTGTGCATTGCAAAAACCCTAAATTGGAATTAAGAGTTAGGGAACTGGGATTGGCCACAAATCGTTACGTTTTTATAAATCGAGCGACTCTGACACACCTAAAGATTCCTTTTTAAAAAGTTTCTAAAACTTTTAGATATATTTCTTCTTTTTAACAAAAATAATTTCTTTGAAAACATACTTTTAATAAACAAAGCTTTCGATTTAGACCTAAATCGATTTCAAAGATTAACCCTAAGACCTAATAAATATTTGGCATAGCCAACAAATCCCCCCTTTTTGATTTGTTTATCCCCCCGAATAAGGAAACTTTTACTCAACTTTATCCGGGCAATCAATTTCAATCAATTTCACCTTATTCCTCTTGCCTTCAATCCTTGAGCTGAATTAAACTCCTGGCCCGTAGCGTGAGTTGTTCGTTCCACAAAAACCAATTCCGAAGATGAGAGGAAGCAAATTTAAAAGCCAACACCCACATACTGTGTATATGTATGTATGAAAACATAATACTCTACCAGACCCAATCAACCTACAGGCGGCAATAAGAAATAAGAAAAAATATAGAATTTCAGCAGAGAAGAAGTTTAATGGACATCCGGCTTTTATTATGCTTAGTCTTATTATTATTGTTTTCCACCTTGAAGGTGTGTGCGCTGGCGATGATGACGAAGAGGAAGAAGCACCTCAAGTGCAATTGAAAAAGCCAAAACCACAAAAACAACAATAATAAAAGCATTAGCACCAACAAAAGCAACTACGAATGTACACGGAAAAAAAAATTAATAAAAGATCAGATTGATTTGTGCTGTCAATATTATATCCTCAACGATCAAGTTATTCATATCATTTTGATATGAATAAGATTATGGCTATCTTTTTTTTACATTATTTGTTCAAAAAATTCTAAATTTAGTATTTCAAGTGATGTGACAAAATATGATGTTAATAAGTTTAAACAATACATTTGACCTAAGGTAGAATTGACCCTATTTCATATCGAATTTTATTTCGGTGTACGATGTTGATATTTGCGTTGGCAAAGGAAACGAGAAGGAAAATCCAGCAAAAAGCAGTAGATATGGCTTTTAGAAGGAAGAGGAGAAGCACTCTGCCTCATTAAGTGTCCGCCGGCCTTTGGTTTATGGTCTCCAACTAGATGGAGGATTAGCAATTGCACAACTATATAGTATGGTATACTATGTTGGTGTCTCTGGCACTTTTGTGGGGGTGTCGATTTTGGCGTGGTCTGAAAACAAGTTTAGGCGCCTTTACGGCCATCATTAATCTTGTGGCATGCCCCACGAAAACATAGAACACCAATCAACAGAGCCACGCCTTGAGGTGCCCGACTTGGATACCATTTTCTTTATTGATTCACTTGCGGGGGCTCAAAATTTACCGCCCATCCATTGTACAACCGTCGAGTGTAAATTTAGCGAATACCTGTTTCCTCCGTTAACCGGAATAGGTGATAAGCTGATTAATTTTAAGAGCAATTAAACGCCTAGCGATGCAATACAGGAAATGAAATAGTCGGCGATTAAGTACAGGCAACATTGAAATTCTGAGATCTCTCGAAAACAGAAAGATTAAATAGATTTAATATTCAGTTACCCTGAAATTAATTAAATCAATATTTAAAAAAAAAATAAAAAAATATTTTTAATATTATAAAACTCGAACCAAATATAATTTAGTCAAAAATCTATGAATCTAGATTTATTCTTTAACCGAATGTTAATGTGACATTTTTTTTTGTCGTTCTTAAAGTTCCTCAGAATGCACTTCTCCATTCAGAAAACACACACAATTTGACATTCGCTTGGCCGTTTTCCCCCTTCCCCAAAAGGGAAACGGACGTCATGAAGGGAGACTGCTAGACAGAAAAAACGAATTGCATTAATGCAATTTTAGCATCTGAAACCGTGCTGAGGAAAAACTAAACGGGCACGTTCCAATTGGTGTCCGCGGTCGTTGTCAGCATTCTGTGTCTGCATCTGGATCTGCATCTGCATCTGCATCTGCATCTAGTGAGCCCTGAGCCCCGAATGGAAGTGGAAAGGAGGACAAATGGACACCAGACATGGGAGCCCGGAGTCCACTGGAATCGTTCCAAATTGCTGGCGCATGACTCCGGCTATTGGAGAAAAGAAGGGGAAAAATCGAAAGAAAGGAACGGAGCAGAGTATCTGATGAAGAAAAGCTGTAAAATGGAATTGCATTACACACACTTTAGGTGCCATTTGTGTTTTGGGGGGAAGTGGGGAGGACCTGGTGGAAAAGCCATGGAGTTGATGATGCGCCAACAAATTGGATGCGTAATGGTTAAGCGAGAGCCGAGCCACAATTGAGATATTTATAGTTATGGCCAATGGAGACATGGCGGAACCCTAAGATAAAATTTCACTCTTAACCAAGCTAATGGGCGAAAGTTTACTTGCTTAATAGTTTTCAAAGGCATTAAGCTAAGCTCTAAAAGATACACTGGTTATGAAACAGAAATCTTTAAGGTCATAATCACCTGATAGGGCTTTTCGAGGCCTTAGGCAGAAATTCATTTATTGAGTTTAATTAATTACTAGCTGCGGAAAATATGCAGGAAAATTGCACGTAATTTATTTCTGGCCCGGTTTACTCTAAAATATTTTCACTGGCATTCCCAACTGACTTTGCCCTAGTTGCACAGGCGTTATTAAATTAAATTCCAATAAAATCGTGTTCGGTTCACACGATGCGATGCTCACCCCTTCAAGGTTTCGGTGTCCTCTAATGCTGGTATTTATTTTATTTTCTATAGCAATCTTCTTTTTATTGCCTCTAATCCGTTAAATGCTTTTTAATTGCATCTGCAACCTTATACCAGGGACACTTGAAAATTCTGTTCGCATCGCCAGGCAAAAGTGGGTGGGTTAGGCGGGTTTTGGAAGGTTATGGTTGCAAAGGAGGTGGCAGGAGGGTTGGGAAGGCGTGAGCAACCCCAGGCTAATTGGTTGGGCGTGAAATGTGTGAGTTTAATTTTTTAGAACTCGGAAAAATTGTCAACCCCTAGCCGAAAGGACCCCTACAATTGAAACACTGTGGGAGACGAAATTGATAAAGAATGTAGATGCAATCGGGCAAAGCAAACCGCTTTTTATCGGATTAGAAAACATTGGTCGGAAAATCTGCTAAAGTAAATAATGAAAAGCAAGCCTATTAAAAAGATAAACTATTCTCTTTAGTGCATTAGCCTAAAATAACATATTTCAGTAATGACATAAATCACAGTCTTACTTGTCATATCGTTTACTGGTCTCTAAAAAATTTGGTAATATTAATTAAGTTGAAAAAAATGTCGACATAGTTTATAAAAAATGTTTTCTCAATATTATTTAATGAACATTTTGTTTATTTTTTTTAATTCCGGATAGTTTGTCCTCAGAAATAATATCTTAAATATATAATGGCTTACGTTTTGATTAATAAAAATAAAAATCTCAAAATTTGTTATCATTACGTTGTTCTGTAAAAGGTTTTAAATTTATCTTTACATTTATCAAGTTCTTAATTTCCCCGGTACAGTAACTTTAAGCTTGAGTTCATTCAACCGCAAGCCGAGCTTATACTTAAAAAAGCTCTCTCACCTGCCTGCCAAAGCTTTTAAGCCCTCGAGCCACTCAAGCTTTGCGGCTTAGCTCGGCGACGTCTCAAGAACCCACTCAAGAAATGTTCATAAGCCCAAAGCTAAAACACACATGCTAACATTTACTTGGCCAAATGTAACAACTCGTAATGCTGATGGCCTTTTACAAACATATATTGTACAATGAACATATGTATGTGCACTTGCAGTTTTAAATTAAAAACAAATTGTGAACACGAGACCAAGCATGTTAGAGACATCTTGACCCTAATGACCGTGGGAACTTTTTGCAAACGTCACTGACATTGTCAGCTGAGTGCCCATATGTGTAAGTGCGTTCTTGTGAGCGAGCTCTTAAGTTTTTTTAAGAGAGGCTTGAGCTCAAGCATTGCCAACTTGAAATTAATTTTAAAAAATGTTTAACGGTAACTGAACTTGGAAGATTTTTTGGAGGGTTCATTAAATTTAAGTGTTCTTTGGCTGTTTAACTATTGTTACTATTCCTTATAATTGTTGCTAAGATTTTAGATTATTTTTCTAATACTCTTTTTTTATTTTTCAGCTTTTTAAGGACACACTTCTACAATTAAAGGGTAAGTGATTTATTTTTAATCGGAAAGGGAGAGAAAGAAACAAGTGGCATTTCAGAATACCTTATATTAACTTTTCAGCAAAATTAATATTGTTAAAATTAAAAAAAAAAGAATTTCGAGCTGGGGATAAATTAACAAATTATTTCAAGGACGACGATCAAAGCATAAGCCCTTTTTCTCAATACTCGATTATTTATCACCCTCTTCGAACTGACGCCAAATTATTTCGATTATTGCCTAACAATTGATTTGTTAATCTTCTTGTCTCGAAATGGAAATCCAAACCAATTGACCCAACAATTTATATTCGTAATTGGCTTCCTAATCGCAATTACAGGCCAGATTGTGTTTTGAATTCGAGTCAATGGGATTGTGTTGGTTTGGATTACTCATGCTAACCTTTTAGCGAGTGTTTGAGCGTATTTGTTGCCATTTGAGAGCCTTTCAGTGCAGCATTTTGCGCATTTTGATTGAAATTTTGATTGGGTTGCACATGTGGCTTTTGTCTGCCCCCTCAACCCCATTGACTGACATTGATTTCTCAGCTTGTGGCCATTTCTCCAATTCCCCAAGCTCCCTCTTCCGCTTTTTACCTTTCCCATTGTCTGGCATTATCTTTTGTCTGCTCATTCCAGCGGTGCTGGAAGTCGTTCGTTAGCGGTGGGCGGCGGGAGGTGGGTGGGCGTGTCTGGGTTCCGGCGTATCCACATGCAGTGCTAGCTGTTTTCATTATGGTTTATCTAAAAGTGTCGAGCATTTGCAGTAATGGCTTTAACACATTTAACACGCAGGGAAAATTACAAATTATAAAGAAATATTTTTGCAAAATAATTTAATTTAATAATTTCAAATTAATATCTTCTGTATTTGTATGTGCTTATGACTTACTTATCATAATTTAATAATATCTGTAACTAAATGATATTCTCCTACTTTTTCTCAGTGTATTTCTGTTACTAGCACCGATTGCACAAATTTGTTGTTTTTTCTGCATTTAAACTGCGATAATGTTGGCGTGATTGGGTGGCATGTGTAGGTAGCAATGGTTTGTTCCCAATACTCTTGATACCATTTTTTTACCACCTGATTTTATGTGCTACCTGGATTAAAGCCGCTGCTGCATTGCGATTTTTCGCACGTTTCAGTGCTGAAAATTGTCTTATTTTCTATTTACGTCGCTCTCACGCGCACTCTTGGAAATTTATCTATCTTTTGGATTTATCTAATTTTCTCTTAGGTTAAAATCTTCTCTTAGGGAGCTAACAACGACCTTGCCTCCTCGCTCTTTCGTTCTCCGATTTCCGCTCTCGCATTTCGATCGATCATTTTGCCATTGTTGTCACGGAATTTAGGTTGGGCAACTAATTCAAATCGATAAGTTCAATACATTGATTACCGAGCCTTGATTACTGTTCAGTTAATCAGTTTTTATTCTTTTCATTTATTTTCTTTGTCCGTTGGCATTTCATAACCACTTGGCCATCATTTGAACTTCGTTTCTGCGGTGGTAACTCTCTTTAATGACTCTCTTGAGTGCCATAATCACTTCTCAACAGCAACACTCGCTCTCCATTCTCCATGTGAAAAAACTGGCAGCTGCAGAACCAACGAAACCAACAACTGGTTTTAAGTGCCCTTCTATCGCTCGAATGGGGTATCTCCAATTTAGATTTTGCAAAAAATGTGTTTTCAAATACATATGTTTTTTTTTAGGAATATCGTGGTAAAGAATAGATAAGATAGTGCTTTAAATAACACGTAATATTATTCGTACAATGAAACTTAAACTCCGTAAATCAAATATATTAATTGATTATTTAAAAAAAAAAATTGTGGATCAAAATAAATAGAATATTGGTAGACCTATCTTTTTATTATTCACTTACAATTTTTGGGAAATTAAAACTTGTATTTGAAATTGAACAATATTACCAATTTCCTGGAATTTTGTTACATCAATTTTAGGCCAGCACATCTGAAAATCTTCTAAGAACAAATCCGTTAGGTAAAGCTGTTAGAAAATAATTTAAAATCCATTCTAAGCCAACCATTTCAGTAATTATCTTTACTGCGTGCCTTTTCGGGAAATTCCCAAACTTAAAGAATGGAAGTGGTCTCGTGTTTTCCTAGAATTTCCCCTTAAGCCAGGCCTGACCGCAAATCTCTTAAGCCTTCGGCCAGGAAATCGCGATCTTCAAAATGCAGCGCATCTGAGATTGTACCTAGCCTAGATACATTTAAACCCTCTCTCGCTCTTTCCACTCTCGCTGTCTCCCTCGCACTTTAGAAAACCTACAAGCTGCAGCTACGTTTTATCATTATCACAACAAATACAAATACAGCAGAGCAGAGGTGAGATGGAAGAAGCAGAACGGTCGTCGACGTTGTTGGTAATAAATAAACACAATGGAACTGAGCAAATCCACAAACGAACTCCTACACTGGAAAAATCACAAGCACTTTTTAAAGGATTTTTAAATGCATCGTTGCAAACTTGAGATGATTTTGTTGTGAGGGATTTCAGTACAATTTTGTTGTTGCATACTTTTTTCATATCACATTACCTTGTACTTTTTAACCGAGTTAAGGGGATTTTACACCCAAATCCTCCACATGGATCCGCGCATGTTGTTGCAATACAAATGATGATATACGATGATATATCACCCTCCACTCGGGTGAAAAATGAAAGAAATTTAGGTATTCAATAAGTATGCAACAAAAAAATTGTTCTGATAGCACCCCCCACAAAAAAATTCTGGATCCGCCACTGACGAAAACATTTCAGTTCTCCTTACAAGTTGAATATTTT